TTTATCCCCCCCCCCCTCCCCCCCCCCCCCCCTCCCCCCGCCCCGCTCCTTTGCCCAGCCCAGAGCCTGCATCCAGCATCTAAACTCCCTCGCAGAACCTTAGGCACATGTTGGGGGCGGGGACTTTGAGTGGAGGAGGGGTGCAGGGATTCTGGACCCCACCAAAATTTCTACAAACTTGCTGCCCCTGTGTGCTGGGTGAGAGAGAACATGGCCCAGAACTCACCCCCTTCCCCACCTCTATGGGTAGCCCCCAGTGCAGAGTGAGCTGTGGATAAATCCCTGTAATATTATACTTTGTATTAAGATCTTGTCCTTTTAGATCTATCTTTGTTAAGTGTTCTTATAGACTCTCTGTAACATTTCTCCTATAGCTTTGTATTAAGATATATAGATCTTGTAAGATAAAAATGTCTTTTGAGATCTCTCCCCTTTTCTTGATTGCCCTGTTGAAATGAATGTGTGAATGGAGACTGAAAGGGGAGCACCTCCAGCAGCAGTTGCCAGGGTGGTGAAGGTCTGGGAGCCAGATCCAAGACAATACCTGTGAAGTGAACTCATTAAGAAGACTGGACATACAGACACCTTGGGAGTAAAGCAAGTGCCTGCCCTTGGAAGAACTCTCTTTGAAGCAGTATTAGGAAAGGCGAGGTGATTACTAATTGACTGCAAGAGAGGGATAAATAGGAGGCATCTTGCAGAGGGACCCCGGGTTTTCATCTTGTCTACATGGGAGCATCAATCCAGATCTGCAGAAGCCTGGCTCCATTCCCTCCCTCCCTCTCCATCTAACTCACCTGGCCAGTGCAGTTAGGGGGAGCAACTATTGGTAACAACAAGATGGAGTGTGCTTGTGTACGTGTGTGTATGAGTGAGTGAGAGAGAGAGAGAGAGAGAGAGACTGCATGAGTGTAATGTATCATATACATATGATAAGTATTGATTGATCTATGTATGTTCAATAAATGTGGCATGTTGCCTTATCCCCCTGAAAAAGATCTTTTAAGCACAGCATAGCTGCCATACCAGGGTGAGCCCAGCATTTCTGACTGTTCATGCTGTTACGGGTGTCGTGCTGCAGAGTCTTCCTGAGCATCAGAAGCCAGAGGGGAAATGGCGACTCTTCAGAGTCCACATCTCAGCAAATCCTGCATGGCATTTCCTGGCTCAAAGAAAGCCTGTTTCATCAGCCCGACGGTTCCCCTCATCCCGTATTCCCAAGGCCTGGTTTGAATAATGGAAGTGTAAAAGCTTCTCAAAGGTACCACAGGACCTGTTTACAATGGGAGAAGCAGGGAAACTAAACAGGAGTTACGAGGAGTCCTGTGGCACCTTATAGACTAACTGAAGTGTAGGAGCATAAGCTTTAATCCTTGCAACAAACCTCGGTGCCAACTCTGCCCACATATATACACCAGCAACACCATCACAGGACCTAACCAGATCAGCCATACTGTCACTGGTACATTCTCCTGCACATCCACCAACGTAATATATGCCATCATGTGCCAACAATGCCCCACTGCTATATACATCGGCCAAACAGGACAGTCCCTACGTAAAAGAATCAATGGACACAAATCTGATATTAGGAATGGCAACATACAAAAACCTGTAGGGGAACACTTCAATCTTCCTGGACACACAATTGCAGATCTAAAAGTAGCTATCCTGCAGCAAAAAAACTTCAGGACCAGACTTCAAAGAGAAACTGCTGAGCTACAGTTCATCTTTAAGTTTGACACAATCAACTCTGGATTAAACAAAGACTGTGAATGGCTTGCTAACTACAAAAGCAGCTTCTATTCTCTTGGAATTCACACCTCCAGATCAGCTGCTAGAAGTGGGCCTCATCCTCCTTGATTGGATCCACCTGGTCATCTCCAGCCTGATCCTGGCCTGCATATTTATTCCTGCCTCTGGAAATTTCCACTACATGCATCTGACGAAGTGGGTCTTTGCCCACGAAAGCTTATGCTCCTACACTTCAGTTAGTCTATAAGGTGCCACAGGACTCCTCGTCGCTTTTGCAGATTCAGACTAACACTGCTACCCCTCTGATACTAAACAGGAGTTGCTGTCAGCTGCCCTAAGTATTTTGTAGCAATAGGGTATTTATTGTGTAACTCTCACACCTTCCCGTGTAGTGTCACTGAGACCATTTAGAGATTCATGAGTCTGCTCTACAGACTCAGCTAAGGCCTTGTGGCTTTTAGCTCATGCAGTAGAATCTCATATGTCTAATTTCAGAAGTCCCAGGTTTGATCCCACCCACCAATCTCGTTTTATTGCAGTAGTTTGTGTCATTACCCCAAGAGACCAGTAGGTGGTGCTGCAGTGCAAGGCGCAGCTGAGAGAAGGAGGTGAGGTACCTGCTGAGTTGCTGGGAGATGATTCACACACAAATTGTTTCAGGCGGGACTGGAAATCTGTCAGGCCAGGGCTGCCGTTGCATTGAGGGATGAGTCTCTCCCCAGTACTGTTGTTCTCCAGGCAATTCAGACACCGTCTGGGCTGAAAAACTTCAGAACAGCATGAGCATGAATGGCAGCTACTGCTCAGGGATCAGCCGCCCATCACATACTGCAGCTTTCACATTCAGAACTGGGCCCGGGAGATAGAACATGAGAGAAGATGAGAGACTATTGCATTTATTGCACAGCGCTCGGTGTCTCCCACTCTGCCCTGCACACTGATTGCAGTGAAGCTCTAGGAGAGGGCTCACATGGGGGTCGTGTATCAAGCTCCAACTTTGTCCTGTAAATGTCCTATTGATCCTGTTTTGGTGCTAGTGACGTGTCTGGGATTTTATTCACAAGAGCGTTGGAATCAGAAACGCAGGAAATGGGGAGATTTCGAGGTGTTGCATTTGGCACAAATTAATTTGGAGGTGCTTACCCCAAATGCCCGTCAGAATCACAGATGCCACCTGGACGAGGAACCAAGCTGCTCCCAGCCGCAGAGCGAGCCGATGCCAGCAGGGGCACGGAGGATGATCTGTAAGAGGCAGAGTCTGGTGAAAGATCTTCAGCACATAGAGCAAGCAATAATGGATGTGCATGTGCATCACCCATCAATGGATATTTATATTCCTCCTGACATACCAGGAATAGTTTAAAGCCTGTAAGTTAAGAGCTACATCATGCTGAGGGCACCCTGGTGATGAAAGAGAAAAATACTGCCAAAGTGAAGAAAATACTAACAAATTCCTACTGTCAATTATGTCACAACATGGTTCTAGTCCTCTTAGAGTGGTGTGTATCTGACGACGTTACATATCAAAGCTTTGCTTCAATCCCTTTTAAGTGCAGTTTGCTGCAGCCTTTTCATGATGATCTAACAATCCCTTAGGGTATGTCTACACTACAAAGTTAATTCGAACTAACAGACGTTAGTTCGAATTAACTTTGATAGGCGCTACACTAGCAAACCGCTAGTTCGAACTTAATTCGAAGTAGCGGAGCGCTTAATTCGAACTAGGTAAACCTCATTCCACGAGGACTAACGCCTAGTTCGAATTAGCTAGTTCGAATTAAGGGCTGTGTAGCCACTTAATTGGAACTAGTGGGAGGTTAGCCCTCCCCAGGTTTCACTGGTGGCCACTCTGGGCACCACCAGGGAAACTCTTCTGCCCCTCCTCCCGGCCCCGGACCCCTTAAAGGGGCACGGGCTGGCTACGGTGTCCATGCCAGGTGCAAGCCTGCCAGCACCCAGCCAGCAGACTCTGCACCTGGCACGGCTCCAGGCACCCACCCCATGACC